AATTTTTTTAACAAGCTATGGGGGAGGGGGGCCTGTTAATGCTTCAGGTTAAATCCCCCCATACCCGGCCTCACTTAGTACGCCCCTGGCACCAGGCAACATTCCAGTTTGATATCATTAATCCCACAATCAGATAAATGAACATTATATTAGATATCAGGATTTATGGATTCTTTAGTAGATATATGTATCTGTAACTATTAACAGTTGTTCTTCAAGCTGTCATTATTTAAAAATCGTATTTCGCAGATTTTTCTTTTCAGTTTCAATTGATAAATGATCAATTTCGACGTATTTTTGAGGCAAAATTTGTCAAATTTGACCATTCAAAAACCTTTTAGACACAAACAAACAGAGATCCAGCCAGTCAAAGTATATATAGAGATATATGTATAAAACAAGGCTAGATAGGACACATAAAAATGATATCAAATTTTTTAATTAATTAAATTTTTTATCTGCAAAAAATCTGAGACGTATTTAAATCCGCGATTATTATATTTTTCCAACGTTCACCTATACTTTCTTGTAGAATTAAAAAAAATCATTTTATAAAAACTAAAAACTTATACTTAATACTATTACTAAGGGTGAGAGGGCGCATTTGGCACATTGAAAATACAAAGGATTTATATGTTTTTTACTGAGAATTCTGTTAAATCAAATAATTTAAGTTTGCCATATCAAAGGTTTACACCATCAGGTGGCAAAGATACTGAGATTGGAAGTTTTGAGATGTGACAAAGACTCAATTTCTTTGTTTTTGTCTTTTTTTAATTAAATAAATAGATAAAATATGGTGTACTGTATCTAGATTGTGTTTTGCACCAATTTTTCTTCAAAGAAATTTTTTATCAGAGCCTCCTGCAAAAAGGATTTTTAGAGGTTTCTCGAAGCCTAAATTGGCCATGATAAGGTTTCATGTAAATAACTATTTTTAAAAAATGTTGGTCGCCTGTAAAAATGACGGATACAGTGTGTCCTTTAAGCCAGAGTGTCCTGCAAGAATAAAAATGTTGAATGAAGTAAGATAAATCTTATAAAAACTGGGTGTATTGTAGAATAAAAACTTTGAATACAGGGTTCACTCCTGTATGCCGAGTCCATTAGCGCCTGATCCAATCAGGGTTCAGTCATGAGCTTGTTGTCTATTCTGAACCAATAGAAATATTTTGGCGGTAACATCTATCTTTCTATCTATCTCAATCCAATTAGAGTTATGAATCCTTCAATCAGTAAATGGAAATATTTACTTCCACTGAAACTTTGGTGGGTTTCCCGTAGAAAACAGGGTGTTTTGAAGAGCAAAAATTACAAATACAGGGTTTCCTGTAAAAAAAACAAATGTTGAAAACAGTGTGTTCTGTAGAATACGAATGTTGAATACAGAGTGCACAAAAATAAAAATTGTTGATGATTTTATGTCTATTTTGCCGGGTGTTCTGTAAAATTCCCCGAGCAGGGATTCCTATAATAAAATAAATTTATACTTTTTGCGGGTTCAGTTGATAAGTATAATCCTTTAATCCTTCTCAGTTTCTAACTAAACAAAAACAAAAACAAAATATATGAGGTGAAGCCCTTTGTTTATATGTACAATACTTGAATATACAAAAAGTACAACCGCACTACCCATCTCATTCTTCCCCCCCCCCCAAACAAATCGTGTTTTTAATTTATATCATTAGGCCTCGGTTCTATGCATTTCCAAAGGAGTTTTCCTTCCCATTTAGGCACATCCAATGATTTTTGGTCAATACCAAGGTAAAATAAATTAGTCAATTCCACATGTAAGATTTGTGGGACTCGATTTCTTTATAATTCTTTAAATATATTTCTCCCCTGACTACGTATAATACATAAAATATCTAAGGTCTAAAGGAATATAAATCTTTAAAGAAAAGGAAAAGATAAATCCTAGTTCTTTCATACATACTGGGTAGTAGGAGGTCAATAGTTCATACACACTGGGTAGTAGGAGGTCAATAGTTCATACCCACTGGGTAGTAGGAGGTCAATAGTTCATACACACAAGGTAGTAGGAGGTCAAAAGTTCATACACACTGGGCAGTAGGAGGTCAATAGTTTATCCATACTAGGTAGTAGGAGGTCAAAAGCTCATACAGACTGGGCAGTAAGAGGTCATTAGTTCAAACACACTGGGCAGTAGGAGGTCAATAGTTGAGACACACTGGGTAGTAGGAGGTCAAAAGTTCAAGCACACTAAGCAGTAGGAGGTCATTAGTTCAAACACACTGGGCAGTAGGAGGTCAATAGTTCAAACACACTGGGCAGTAGGAGGTCAAAGTTCATACAGACTGGGCAGTAGGAGGTCAATAGCTCATACACACTGTGCATTAGGAGGTCAATAGTTCAAGCACACTGTGCAGTAGGAGGTCAAAAGTTTATACAGACTGGGCAGTAGAAGGTCAATAGTAAATACACACTGGGCAGTAGGAGGTCAATAGTTCATACTCACTAGGCAGTAGGAGGTCAATAGTTCATACAAACTGGGCAGTAGGAGGTCAATAGTGCACACACACTGGGCAGCAGTAGGTCAAAAATTAACTTTAACATAAACGAACTCCTAGCAATAGGAGTTTAAATTTCTAAATGGTTTGTTTTCCTTGTAATTCTTTCTACTATACAGTACAGATGTTTTGATGGGAAAATTGAATTCTATTTTCAATAAACCACAGAATAAGTTAAAGTAAATGTGTCTACATTATACCTTCTATCCAGTTCTATTTATATTTAAGTATTGGATGCATTTATATATACATATAATGTAGTAATCTCTGTTTGTTTGTTTGTATGTTTGATCAACATTTAGGAACCCCTAGACACAATTCCCTCAAATTTTGATAAAATCGGTAAACTCCAAGGCACATTTTTGTTGGTTTAAAAATTCTAAGTGGAAAAAGTTAACATTTTTAGAAGTAAAACATGTAAAAGCTGGGTACCAGGTTGAAGATCAGATAAAAAAAGGCCTCGAAACTAATAAGTCATGTCTTTCGTAATTGAAATATTCAAAAACTTTATTGGAACAAAATCTCGAGAGCATCAATGAATCCTCTTTTTTTGAAAATCCTATGTTACTTTTCTAAAACTAAGTCTTCAGAAACAAACTTTTGAAAAAAATAGGTTTTAATACTTTGACTTTTGAGGAAAATCGTAGGTCAGCGTTTTCAAGTTTCCAGATTAAGGACGCAAAAACTAGGATTTATCTATTTTTAAATCTTAAAAATGTGAATTTCGATAATTCCTTCATAGCTTTTCTGCAGCAGAAATGTGTACTATTACAAAGAAACCCCAATTGAAAATGCTCAATTTTAAAAATTGTAAACATGGATATCTACTTCGTACTTGATCAGACAAAGCTTTTAAAGGAACCGTTTAATTCGAATCGGACATGACAGTCTACAAATGATCGAAGGTCACTTAAAAGTATAATTCCTTTAAATATATAAATATAAATATCCGTCCTCATATTGTGATGAATAATTGATTAAATCGCTTTGAATAATTGTTGAACACTGTTCTTCTAGTTTTCATAAATATCCAATATACCCCTCTACAATCTACATATATTCACCATATATATGTATAATCAATACATACATAAATGTAAAATGTGTAGGTACAATACATAAATAAAAAACAATTTTTTATTATAATGTTCGGACACAGGATGTTGTTTTTTCCATTTTTTACACGGTTTTAGAACCCAAAGTTTAGGAACTGACAATATTTCCAAAAAATCTGAGAAAATTTAGGAATTAAAAATATGTCCCAAAAATAACTGGAGTAATTGAGGAACTGAAAGTTTTTCCGGAAAAAAACCTAATGAAATTAAACTGACAGGGTGTCCCAAAATATCTGGAGAAGTAAAGGAACTGACAGGGTGTCCCAAAAATACCTGGAGTTATTGAGGAACTGACAGGGTGTCCCGAAAATACCTGGAGTAGTTGAGGAACTGCATACAAGGTGTCCCAACATACCTGGAGTAGTTAAGGAACTGACAGGGTGTCCCAAAAATACCTGGAGTAGTTAAGGAACTGACAGGGTGTCCCAAAAATACCTGGAGTAGTTGAGGAACTGACAGGGTGTCCCAAAAATACCTGACGTAGATGATGAGCTGACAGGGTGTCTCATAAATACCTGGAGGAGTTGAGGAACTGACAGGGTGTCCCATTTCTGGAACTGATTACACCTCATGTGAAACCTCTCTTGAGGGGACCCTGAACAAATGGCTTTATAATATCATTTTATCTATCTATCTATCTATCTATCTATCTATCTATCTATCTATCTATCTATCTATCTATCTATCTATCTATCTATCTATCTATCTATCTATAAGCATATACACATGGAGCCTATTAAACTATGGAGAAAAAAGACCGTTAGACTGAAGTTAGTTTTTAAAATGACGATGAAGATGAAATACCGCAATGGTGTAATGTAGTACATTTTCAGGCCATTTTTTATTATTCTGCTCTTCAACAACATGCATGCAATTCATAAAAGATTGCTTAAATCTTTGTACATAACTTTATTCAGCTTCATGATCAAAGTTAAAAAAATCATTTGCAGGGGGGGGGCCGAATTACAAATTGCTACCTAATTTTGAAGAAAGAAAAGAATAAAGCTGAAGTATTCCAGACTTATAAATCAAATTAATGTAACAGTATTATACTAACAAGGTATAAATAAAGAATAACAATTCATAATAGAAACTTTTCGTATTATATGTTCCTTGGGTAGTATTCTCTCTCTAAAATCATTAAAAACACTTATTGATTGAATAAATAATTTATACTTTGTGCAGTTGCTTTTTAAAACTATTTTCATTTGCAATGCAAATAGTAAGTGCGACAATAATTGAAAAATGACATGATTTTCAAAAAAAAAAATTGCATGTGAACAATAATTGGGTGTTTTTTTCCCTGAAATAGTTAACAAAATCTTTCGGCCAGATATTCTCAAACTCTTTCCTATAATAAGGAAATATTAAAAATCAAAAAATCAAAACGATAAGAAAAAATATTTTTATCTAATGGAATCAACGATAAATCCACATAAAGATAAATGATTTTTGTCTCAAATTAAACAAACAAATTTTCTTTCTAAACGTTAATTTATAGTTTTGAGCGTGATAATTTTAAACAAAAAACCCAAAGTTTGCAGAGGTGAGTACAGAGGGATCTATAAAACTGTGGATAAGGAAGAAAACTTTTTTATTGATTTTAAATACTCTAAAAACACAGCAATTGTGCAGTGTACACAGACCCATTTCATGTAATAAATTGATTTTTAAGATACTGGTAATACTACATCCTTTTTAACAAGATTAAGGATTAAACATTGTCTTTTTACCATAGTATATTTCTACAAAAATCAAAAACGAATGTAAAAGGAGAAGGAAAAGAGAGGAATAGGAAATGAAACAGGAAACACTTATAAAAGAAATGTTGAAAAATCTACCTGAATCTATCCTGCATTTCCGTCCGGGATTCAGACATCAACAAATATTTAACACAAGCCTAAACATATGTATATATATAACACGTCAAATTTGCTCTTCTCAATGGGTGTCTCTTAGTTTGTTTGTGTCCAATAAACGTCAAAATGGCTGAACCGATCGGGCCCAAATTTTTTCTGGGACCTCGCGTGACCCCAGGGAAGAGTATGGATGATCGAATTTTCAAAAATTTGCCTGTAACAAAATTCGACTTTTGAAAATCCGCGAATTTTTTGTTTGTTTTTTGTTTGTTTTACAATGTAAGCAAAGAGAACATGTCCACAATTGAAATAGTAGATGGACGCGAAGCGCTCTAAAAGCCTAGTATATATATATATATTCTTTGCTTGTCTGCATGGGTGTCTCTTTGTTTGTTTATAACCAATAAACGTCAAAACGGCTGAACCGATCGGGCCCAAATTTTGTGTAGAACCTCGCATGACCCCAGGGAAGGTTTATAGATGATCAAAATTAGTAATTCATTAATTTTTGAAAATCCACAATTTTTTTTCATTAGATAAAAATCATGCATGTTTCAATCATGACTTTTTTCCCTAAGGGCTAGCGTGAAGAATCGTAAAGTTTTAAATTTCTAATATAGGGAACATTTTGTGAATCAAAAATGTAGTGATACTTTAATTACGTCCACAGTCCCTTTAAATCTGTCAGATCCAGAGTTTAGACTAATTGCTAGACTATAATATAGAGTATACACATACACAAGTTTATGTTTGAGTACGCTAGAACAATAGGATGCTGTAGACAGTCACGATAGAATATGATAGAATAGAATGATATGGAATAGAATAGGATAGAATGAAATATATTAGAATATAATAGAATAGAATATAATAGAATAGGAGAGAATAGAATAGAATAGAATAGGATAGAACAGAATAGAATAGGATAGAATAGAATAGGATAGAATAGAATAGAATAGAATAGAATAGAATGGAATAGAATAGAATAGAATAGAATAGGATAGAATAGAATAGAATAGAATAGAATAGAATAGAATAGAATGGATAGAATAGAATAGAATAGAATAGGATAGAATAGAATAGAATAGGATAGAAAAGAATAGAATAGAATAGGATAGAATAGAATAGAATAGGATAGAATAGAATAGGTGCAGAATATAATAGGATGGAATAAAGTTAGATTGAATACGAAAGAATAGAATAGGATAAAATAGGATAGAGAATGATATAATAGGAAAAGATAGGATAGAGAAGGATAGAATATGAAAAGATAGGATAGAAAAGGATAGAACATGTAAAGATAAGACTGAGAAGGATAGAATAGAAAAGATAGGATAGAGAAGGATATAATAGGAAAAGATAGGATAGAATAAGGACGGATAGGTCTTGATAGAAAAGAATAGAATAGAATAGGATAAAATTGGATATAATAGGATAGGATGGAGAAGGATAGAATATGATAGAATGGAATAGGATATAATTGCATGGACAGAATAGAATAGAAAGAATAGAATAGGATAGAATAGAGATATTTCTCTGCAGTAGAGCTGACTAGAATTCATAATACAAATGAGATCAAGGATTTTACAACAAGAAGATAGGAACCGATACAGATAGAATCAAAAATTATTCAACAAAATGATGGAACCTTAAAATACGGATAGAAACAAGGATTATAAAAAATACGATATAAACTTAAGATGCAGATAGAATCAAGGATTATAAAACAAGACGTTATAAACTTAAGACACAGATAGAATCAAGGGTTATAAAACAAGACGATATAAACTTAAGACACAGATAGAATCAAGGATTATAAAACAAGACGATATAAACTTAAGATGCAGATAGAATCAAGGATTATACAAGACTATATAAACTTAAGATACAGATAGAATCAAGGATTATAAAACAAGACGATATAAACTTAAGATGCAGATAGAATCAAGGATTATACAACATGACGATATAAACTTAAAATACAAATAGAATCAAAGATTATGAAACAATCCTTAAAATACAAATTGAATCAAGGATTATGCAATCAAAGTGCAGAATACAGATGCAGATGATATTATTTCTTGGCATATTCTTAAATTACCTTAAAGTATGCAACAGCATGAGCACCGTATCCTTTCTGTCTCATATATTTATCCATATCACGAAACCTGAAACGAGAGGGTTTCAGCGAGCATTTTGGAAATTTGTTGTTTCTCAAAAATTTTATTCGCCTTTTGTTGTGCCCCAAAATAATGTGAAATGAGTATGAGGGGGGACTCTAAAAAAGCGTCTCAAAGATTGAGCTCTTGCAAGATTAAATAGTCTAGGTTTAAAATATCAAAGGTTTACACCATGAGGTTGCAGAGATATAGAGATTAGAAATTTGAGTTTGTTGTAAAATCTATGTATTCAACCCTAAAACTGAATATACCAACCTATGTATCCAACTTTCAAACTAGATCTACTATCCTATGTATCCAACCTTCAATCCTTATATACTATCCTATGTATCCAACCTTCAATCCTTATATACTAACCTATGTATCCAACTTTCAAACTGGATATACTAACCTATGTTTCCAATAAACTGGATATACTAACCTATGAATCCAACCAATAAACTGGATATAATAACCTATGTATCCAACCAATAAACTGGATATAATAACCTATGTATCCAACCAATAAACTGGATATACTAAACTATGTATCCAACCAATAAACTGAATATACTGACCTATGTATCCAAAAAATATCCAACCAATAAACTGAATATACTAACCTATGTATCCAACCTTCAAACTGAATCAGGTTTGGAGCATGAGCTTTAACAGCAAGATGGACAGACGGTTCAGATTCGTTGATCACAATTGGGAACCTAAATTATTAAGATTTGTTGATCACAATTGGAAACCTAAAATAATTGGATGCGTAGATCACAATTGTGAACCTAAAATAATTTGATTTGTTGATCACAATTTGGAGCCAAAAATGTTTATATCGCAGATTACAGTTGGTAACAGGAAATATTTAGATTTTTTGATTTGGTGAATTCCGTAAAACGTAAAATATTAGTTTAAGCCAAGATCAAAATATATATGTATATATTTTGTTATAATTGGAACTTACGGTTTTAATCTTTCAGTTTAAAGGGATTGTACACCTAATTTCAAATATATCGAGTACCCTTGAAAGCTTTGTTTTATCAAAAATATAATTTTCATTCATGGTATCTCTCAACAAAAATAGTTTACGAATTTCCAGTGCATAAACATTGGAGGAAATTGTTAGAATTAAACACTTTTCAAGCTAGCAGAACGACGATATCTTCCACATCATTTTTCAGATAAGTTTCAAAGGCTACAGCTTAAAATAACGACGACAGTTCCTTTAACAGATATCAACCTGTATTTGGCTAGTGCTGGAATATCACAGAGAACTCTTGCCCAGAACATAGAATGGCTGGATTTAAACTTTCTTTCATGAATATTGATTGCCAGGGGCATCACAGGGGAACCAAGGTAGAAATAGTTGGTGTACGTCAGGATTGTTATGTACAAACTTCCTAAAAAATATGTACAGTAAATGTAAAGCTTTTGAGGGTTTTAGAAGTTCAAAAGACTTTTGTGTACAAACTTAATAAGCAAAGTGCAATACAATACATGTTGTTATTGTTTTCTAGAAACTTCCTAAAGAAAGTACTGTATTTTACAATGTGGTTCTGTACATATAAAGGTCTTCAAAGTTATAACTAAGGTTGTAAGGGCGTCAAGATTGTTATGTACAAATTTCCTAAAAATGTTCCAAGAAAAGTTAGGGGCGCAATAGCAATTTCCTTTATTAATTTCTAAACCAACCAATTTACAATCTTTGTGTCTTGGTCAAATATTTCAAAACAATATTATTTTTCTTAAATAAATGTTATAGAATATTTGGTTTTTTTTCTGATTTCTTTATTAGAATATTTTTGACTTCAGTAACAGTAACATGGTTTGAACCGTGATTTTTGATAAATGATTTTGTAGATATCACTCAAGAAAAATTTAGATCATGACACAAAACTTCAAACAAAATGTGAAAAATATTTTCGTAAATTCGTTGGAAATAATATTTCTTTTAAATTCTGAATACTTTTGAGATTTGAGAGATTTCTTGTAAAATATATAAATCTATTTGGATTTCTAACAATATTTTTTTAAGAAGATGCAAACTCTATTCTGGAGCTAGTTTTACAAATAAACTGAAAGCCTGTACGAAAATTTTGGAGTGATAAATTCTAAATTTGTTATCTTTCTCTTAACCGATTTTTGGGGATTGAACAACACTTACTTATTTGTATTTTTAAGTACTAATATATATTTCCTCTGCCACATGGTAGAGATGGGCATCATTTTTGTGAAATTTTTCGCGAATGTTGACGTCGTTAAAAAAACGAACGATGGACGAACGACTTGGATCATTGAAAGAAATGAAAAAAGTTGCTTTTACTGAACGAACAATTTTATTTAACGAACGATCTTACTAAAAGTACGCTTTTATTGAACGAACGATTTTAATGAATGATCGTTCGCTGAGATAACGAATGAAATTGATAAAAAATTAACGATAATTTTGAGAACGAACGAAATCAATTTTGTTTAACGAAATCAAAAGAACGAATACGTCCATCTCTGCACACGTCACGGGAGAGTGTAACTGTATTCTGTACATAATTGTATAGAAGCGTACAATATATTTTACAAACTAAATGTGCAGTATCCTCTCAGTAAATATATTAGGCTAGTGAATAATTACAAAAATAAAGTAAACCTGGAATGTTAGAGGCAGAGTTTCATTTTAAGACAAAAATTAGTTCCCCGAAAGGTTTAAATCTTCCATCGTTAAAAGTATTTTTTCATCTTTTTATGCAAACACGATTTGCTTAAGTAAATGCTATTACAATAGAAAATATTTTCAGTTAAAAAAATTAAGTTTTCAAAGATAAAATTTTCTTGAATTTATTTAATTGAAACTTTTTCTGAATGCTCAGATTGAATTGAGAAGTAATAATATCTAATTTAGAACTTGTTAAAGGGATTCTGAAGATTAAATTTCTGTTTAAACATTCAGAAACGGGACCATAAAAAAACCTTAAAGGCGATTTCGACATTCTTCATATCTATCTATCTATACATGTAATTTCTATCTAAAGATTGACATGATTTCTGTGAATATCTGTCAACACAGAAAGCGAGATGGATAAAATTTTGAATAAAAATATCATATCTGAGAAGTATCTATCTGGAAAGTATCTATCTGAAAAGAATCTATCTGGATAGTATCTATCTGGAAAGAATCTATCTGGATAGTATCTATCTGGATAGTATCAATCTGGAAAGTATCTATCTGGAAAGTATCTATCTAGAAAGTATATATCTGGAAAGTATCTATCTGAAAAGTATCTATCTGGAAAGTATATATCTGGAAAGTATCAATCTGGAAAGTTTATATCTGGAAAGTTTATATCTGGAAAGTATTTATCTGAAAAGTATCTATCTGGAAAGTATCTATCTGGAAAGTATCTACCTATCTGGAAAATATCTACCTATCTGGAAAGTATCTATCTGGAAAGTATCTATCTGGAAAGTATCAATCTGGAAAGTATCTATCTGGAGAGTATCTACCTATCTGGAAAGTATCTATCTGGAAAATATCTATCTGGAAAGTATATATCTGGAAAGTATCAATCTGGAAAGTTTATATCTGGAAAGTTTATATCTGGAAAGTATTTATCTGAAAGTATCTATCTGGAAAGTATCTATCTGGAAAGTATCTACCTATCTGGAAAGTATGATCGTAGAATAGTTTAACAGTATCTTCTGCTAAATCTCCAGGACATCTCTCAGAGTAAAGGATTTTACAAATATTCTCAAACTCCCTGAATTATTAAGCAATCAATTGATCAATTAATTAACTTATTATTATTCAATTAAGTGTTAATTAACCAATTCTTTAGTTAAATAAAAATCAATCAATGAGTTAATCAAATAGTTAAATATCAATCAATTAATAAATGAATTAGTCAAATAGCAATCAATAAATCAATCGATTAATCAATTAATTAGTTAAGTAACAATCAACAAATCAATTATATAGTTGATAAACAATAAACTAAAAATAAAATAACTTTATAAGTTCATTAATCAATCAGAATATGCATACAATGAAACGTCTATTGCCCAAAATTAATGGTCCCAACATGCTTTGTGTCATGATGACTTCATGAGTAAAGATTTTTGATTATAAAAAAAGAGTCGCAAAGTTTCTATAGAATGCATTAGAATTATTTTTCAAGAATGAAAATATTAAACTCATAAATCTGATAAAAGTTATAAATGTAAAATCTTTTGAATAGTTTTGCAAAAATAAGGATATTAAATAGGATTTAAATAATTCTAATATTATGCATTCTCGGGATTTCATGTTTTTCTAAATTCATCACAAAACAAAGTTTTCATCATTTTAAACAGAAAACGTCATACTTTTAACAATATTTAGCTAGAGTTCATTTAAACATTTGAAATTCAATTATATACAGTGGGACCCATAAACCTGTGGAACAGAAAGTCGACTAATAGACTCAGGAAGTGCAACGAATAATGGAGCACAACAATTGTGCAGTGTACTCAGACACATTTCAAATAATAAGCCATTTGTTTAATAACAAAATCAAACACACATTACACATAAGATTGCTTAAATGTATGGGTCTCCCTGCAGGCTCGTGCTAGACTTTTTGATCCGTTTATCAAACATTCAAAATATTTGGCTTTTAAGAGACTGAAATAAATGGTTGACAAGCTTAGTTTGTTTTCACAATATGCAAAAATTTTAGTTTTACAGAAATTTTGCTATATTAGACTGCCCAGAGTTTAGAGGAGACTTCTATACAAAAGTAACACAATCGATTCACAAAATAATTACGTTTTATCCTTCTGTGAACTGTCCCTTAAACCGTTCTGTTTCGAATTCTAACCAATATCAGATACTTATATCCACCATTACCAGTGTCAGTTATCCAATAGTAGAGGAGAATACCTCACAGGAAACAATTAGTGGAAACTATTCTATCTTAATCCGTCTTTAGAGTGGATACTTTCACAACTTTCAAGCCGGGAACACCTTTAACAAGGCCAAAGGTGTTCCGACAAGCATAAAACTGAGGTGAAAACTTTTAGTTGAGGAAGCGCTGAGCCACATTGATTGAACTTGATATCCACAGAGGAAACTTTCAAATTGAAGCATTTAACTTTTTATTCCTGGGATATGGTAAAATCCACCAAGGACCATATTTAATAAATTTGAGCTACGTGGCTGAACTACCTACTGCCATGCCGATTCAATTTTGAACAACCGACTTAAAGTTTGAATCGATAGTTCAAATTTGATCCGGCGCCGTCGTAAGTAGTTCAAATAAATTAAATTCGGTTCCAAGGAGAGATAATTAAAAAATGAACCAATGCAAGGGCTGGTTGTGTTTCAAGAGTCATATTAAACCAACAAGGGAGGAAAACCAACTTCTAGCGCATCATAAACATACTTTTAATACGAAAGTTATGACTTCAGATTTCGCACACTGTACATTAATAAGCTAACTATATATATTCTTCCCTTTTTGTTGGTGCTTTATTGGTAAACCATTAAATCAAATATAAAAAAAACATATTTTTAAATTTTCACATTAACAATCCCATAACTGCACTAACTCTCTAAGAAACAAAAAAAAGAATCTTTCTTAAAAATATCTTTCTCTAGTTCTAGTAAGAGATAGAATGTTATATGAGAAAGGAAAAGTATGTTGCTTGCTGCCAAAAATCTAGAACATTTATGAGACCATAAACTAGAGAAAACCAACAAGTGATATTTACATATCTCAGATTACGTCACCAAATTTAGAATATAAATTCGTATCAGAACTCTACATACAATACAATATTCAATATTAATCGAAATGGATAGATTGATAGGTAGGTAGGTAGGTAGGTAGGTAGGTAGGTAGGTAGGTAGGTAGGTAGGTAGGTTGGTAGGTAGGTAGGTAGATAGGTAGGTACCTTGTCATATCTGGATGTACTAGAGTTAGCTGAAGAGAGGGATAGATAGACATATTTTTTACAAACTTCCCATTGGACAGATTTCCTAAAAATATCATCATCAATCATCTTTCAAATTTAAGTATTTCAAACTCAAATTAAAGTTTATAATGACTTTTAATAAACAATTCGAAATATAGTACGCTAAAATATAAACTGCAAATACAAACATCTATATGAACGCTTTGTTGCTATCATTAGAGTAGACTGAAGTAAAGTGGTTTAACTTAGCCTGGTAGTTTAACTACGTTTGATCTAAATAAGTATTTTAAAACATTGGTTAACTGAGCTGTACATAATTATACATTAAATATTTAAAACACATTTATTTGATATAAACCGTTGTTTTCAAATTTCGAAAGAAAAATGCTTTTGTTCTTTTCTTTTTTCTAGTTTTTACAGTTCTATAATTGAAAAAACTTGATGCATCAATATTCTTACAGGATGGAGGGGGGGGGGAGGGGTCTTTTAAGCTTGCCGATTTGTATTTGACTCTGTAACATTTGTAGGAGAGGTAATTTCTTTTTACAGCACCCTATAAATTTTTGTCTTATCAAAAATGCATGAATCATCCATCATTTTCTCTTTGAAAATTGGTCATTTTCAATTGTGGTTTCTCTATAAAATTACTTGCGGATTTCTGCATCAGAAACAATGGAGGGAATTGTCAGTATAAATATTTTTCAAGTAAAAATCGACGATGTCTTTCAGATTTTTAATCAGAGACTGTCTCTGAAATTGTATGAAATTTGTTTTTTTAAGCTCAATTTCTCAATGATATTCAAGTTTTCATTTCTTTCATTTCTTTTCTACATTTTTAGCTCCTTTGCATTTGGTTTTCAGACTAATATTAAACATGAATCTTCCTTTTTTCAGATCAAACCCAAGATTTTCATACAGTGTAGAAAATTTAAAATTTGAGGTGGGAATGTTTTAATTTTAATTTATTTAGTTCATTAAAAGTCTCTATTTCTAGCAAAACAAAAGGCAGAGTTTCTAGAATAAGTCCTTGTTAATGGCACCTATTATAATAACCTGATATACTTATTAGATTCTGGAATATGTCCTTGTTAATGGCACTTATTAAACTAACCTGATAAACTTATTAGATTCTGAAATATGTCCTTGTTAATGGCACTTATTATACTAACCTGATAAACTTATTAGATTCTGGAATATGTCCTTGTTAATGGCACTTATTAAACTAACCTGATAAACTTATTAGATTCTGAAATATGTCCTTGTTAATGGCACTTATTATACTAACCTGATAAACTTATTAGATTCTGGAATATGTCCTTGTTAATGGCACTTATTAAACTAACCTGATAAACTTATTAGATTCTGAAATATGTCCTTGTTAATGGCACTTATTAAACTAACCTGATAAACTTATTAGATTCTGAAATATGTCCTTGTTAATGGCACTTAT